AGTTGTCACAGCTAGGAAGGGCTGTAGGGGAGAGACTTGAGTTTAAAAAGAAAACAAACCCCAACCCAACCCCCTCTCCTGTGGGCTTCAGTTGGACAATGGGGCAATTGTGCTGCCTTTACAATATGTGGATGGATTTTACTCTGTCTGGGACACCAGGCAGGCCTCTGTGAAGCTTTTTTTTTTTTTTTAAAGATTTTATTTATTTATTTGAGACAGAGAGAATGAGAGACAGAGAGCATGAGAGGGAGGAGGGTCAGAGGGAGCAGCAGACTCCCTGCCGAGCGGGGAGCCCGATGCGGGACTCGATCCCGGGACTCCAGGACCATGACCTGAGCCGAAGGCAGTCGCTTAACCAACTGAGCCACCCAGGCGCCCTCTGTGAAGCTTTTGAACTCAGGTCTTGTAGTGTTCCATGCAGACAAGCAGGATGATGCTTCATCCACCTCCCTTTGGAGTTCGGAGTTCTGGTTTCTACGCTCAGCGAGGATCTTGGGCAGTAGTTTAGCTTTTCTGTTTCTTAGTTTTACTCATTTGTTGAGTGGGGACTGTACCAGCCTTACTTACCTGGAAGATCTTTATGAGAATGAAATTAAATTTTCTCTTTTAGCATAAATGCATGCATTGCTAATTATCATTAGCCTAGAGTTTTAGCATAACTCCTGGGTGTTCTGAAGTTTTATTATTTACAATCAGCCCAGGCTGATTGCTACTCCCTGATGCTTTTTTTTCTTAATAAACTTTTATTTTGGAATACTTCTAGATTTAAGGAACAGTTCCAAAGATAACACACAGAGTTCCCACATGTCCTTCACCCAGTTTCTTCTAATTCTTCTCTTAACACCTAATATAACTATGGTCCATTGTAAAAACTAAGAAGTCAATATTGGTACATTAATATTAACATACTATAGATTTATTCGGATTTCACCAGTTTTTCTAGCAATGTCCTTTTTCTCTTCCAGGACTCAATCCGGGACACCACACTGCTTGTAGTCATCATGTCTCCTTAATCTCCTCTGGTCTGTGTTGGTTTCTTAGTTTTTCCTTGTCTTTCATGCACTGGCAGTTTGAGGAGGACATCGTAGGTCTTATACAGACCGTCCCTCCATCTGGTTCAGTCTGACTTTTTTTTCCCCTGATGATTGGATTGGGGTTATGGATTTGGGGAAGAGTGAACTGCTCTTCTCACCATACAATATTACAAGTGCATGTCGTCAACACAACTTATTACTGGTGATATTCACCCTATGCGCTTGGTTAAGGTGGGATCTGCCAGACTGTTCCACTGTAAAGTGACTGTTTTCCCTTTCAATGCTCTGTTCTTTAAAATGAAAGAAAATCACCGAGTCCAACCCACACGGGAAGGGAAGGGGGAAGGGGGAAGAATCTACATACATTAGTAAGAAAGATTGGTCTCTTTTACCCCATTTATGGATCTGTTTAATCATTTATTTATATCATTATGGACTTCTGTTTAATTATTTTACACTTTGGGCTATAATCCAATGCTACATTATTTATTTTTTTGCTCAAATTATTCCAGCTTTGGCCATTAGGAGCTCTTTCAGTTAGCTCCTTCCAGTGTCCCTTTGGCATAACCCCACAATCGTGGGGTATTTTGTTTTTGTTTTCGCTTGGAGCACTTTCTCACTTTCTAGCACTGAAAGATGCTCCAGGCTCATCTTATATATTCATTGCCCCAGTCCTAGAATCAACCATTTCTCCAAGGACTCTGCTTCCTTTTAATGGAAAATGGTATTAGAAACCAAGAACTGGACACTGGGTGTATTTGTTGTTACTAGCTAATGCTGATTTTTATCCAAATAAAATAAATGAAAATGTTTAGAGTCAGAGAAATATGGGTTTTCACTAGCTGTGTTACTTTGGGCAAGTTACTTTGCCATGTTGGGTTTCCATTTCCTCATCTGTGTGTAAGGATAATGAAAATGACATACAGGGCTGTTGTGGAGTCAAGTGGTATAACACTGAAGGAACTTCCTGTTTCTGATACTCAAGAGCTAGATTTTTTCCCCTAACTGTTCTGCTGAAAACAACCAAAATTCTTAGAGAAAATATAGGAATCCTCTTCAAAGTATCACTGATCTGTCAAAATAATAATGGCAAAAATTATGGGAAAGTGGGAACCAAAGAAAATAAACAAGTAAAAAAGTTGCATTTACCCTGAAGGCATTTGCTATCTCCAGCAATTTTGAATTTTCACTTGACAGCCTCATGGTGACTGGGATGGCAGTAGGGGTAATGATAGTCAAAACCAGGGCCAGCACTAGGCAAGAAATTTAATAGAGACCCTTGCTATAATAAGCTGGATACCAAACAGTTATAACCTTGGGGGAGGGTGAAGAAATTACTGCTCTTATTTGAACTCTCCGAGTCTTACAGGAAAGCTCAAGTCTTGAGTTTGGTTTAAGTTGGGTCTTAAACTGAGAGCACCTTCAGATGCTTTATAAGGGGAAGAAGGTGCCTTCAATTTGGCCTTCATGTAAATCTCACAAAACATTTTTTCAATAACAGTGACCAGCACATATTAAAAGATAACTATACACAAAGCAGAAATAATAAACAAAAAGAAATAGACTGCTGAAGTCTTAAGATATCGGGATTATTAGCTATAGACTATAAAATAACTATGCTTCAATGCATAAAGAAATCAAAGACAAAATTGAATATATCTTTAGGGGATAAGAAACTAAAAAGTTATATAGATGATATAAAACAGAAACCAAAAGAATATTTTTTTAAGATAAAAATCCTAACAAACAGGATCAAAAATTTAGGGGATGAATTAACCAGCCCATTAGATGCACTTAAAGAAAGAAAGAATCAGTAAACTTGAAGAGTTATCATGTGAAAGCATCTAGATCAGTTTCAGTAATATCAATCATCCCTGTCCCCTTTTCACCCTCTCACAAGCCCACTCCTGTTAAGCACCTCTAATTGGCCAAGGGTCCCAGACATTTTAGTGAAAAGAAGCTGCTAATAACATTTCTGAAACCTTGAAATCCCTGCAAAGGGGTGCGGCAGAGCATTTGTGCCAGCTACACTACACATTTCCCTCTGGGAATACTGGGAAAGCCCAGAGAAGGGGTGAGTGCTCATGGTCGGCAGCACTGAGATCTGCAAAAGACGGCCTTGAGACGTCCTATAGGTCTCAACAACCCACCTCTAGCCCCACAAAGTTTGTTCCAAAATGTCTGGCTGCTCCCTGCTTATCTCCCAGGCTGCTACGAGTCTCTAGGAAATGAAAAGTGTGCAAAGTTTGTTGCACTAATAGAATACAAAAGCACTTCAATGTTATATGTGAAAGTTGGTGTCTTTTACTCAACATTCTTTTGATGGATTTTTTATCTCATCTATGTCACTGAAATACTTAATCACGTGGATTTAAAATCTTCCTTCATGTAGCTCTTTTTTTTTTTTTTAATTAACAGTATTTTTTTTTCCTCTCCCCAAAGTGGGCATTTTCTTTGTGGAACGTAGTCAGTGTCCAAAGATAGCTGCCATCAATTTTTCCTTCCCTATATGTGCATGTTGCTCTTCACAAGGAGAGGTGAAGTCTCTTCTCTTGCCCAAATCTATCCTGGCCTTGGGGCTCCCTTGGGCCAACAGAATGCGGCTGAAGTAACACTGTGTTAACAGTGGGCTGAGCCTTGAGATGACTGGCATCTTCCACTTCCTCCCTGGAAGCCAGTCATGATATAAAACAGTCAGCCCTCCTGACACTACTGTGTTGTGAGGAAGCCCACATCCGGCCACTCCAAAGGAGACAATTGCCCAGCAGCCCCCAGATGATCCTGCCACCCCAGCTGAGGTTACCACCATGAGAGTGAAGAACCCAGCAGACACCTCAGGCCCCAGGAGACCATCCAGCTGAGCCCCATTCAGATGCAGAATTGTGAGAAATAATAACTAGATGTTCTAAGCCACTAAGTTTTGGGGTCACTTGTTACATAGCAACAGATAACTGAAACATCTTTGCATATGTTTTTCTTCATAATAATTGTTCTCCTGAAAAGGAAAAAGACTCTTCAAGGTTTCTTCAGTGTCCACCTCAGCCTGGCTCCTGCAGATTTCTCCAGGTTTTCACTTGAGATGTCAGCCAAACTGGTCTTCTCGCTGTTTCTTAACATGTCTGTCCCAAGTACTCCCATTTCTGTGATTTTACTCACTTCACCAATCCTGTCTGAAGCCTCACCTGCATTACCCCCTCTTCAATCATACCACCACTTTGTTGGAATTTTCCACTCTTGAAGGTCTAGTACAAGAATGACATTTGTTCCTAAGTGATTTCTGTCCTCTGAACTCTGGAATTATTCCCTGGAAAGTCTCTGCTCCCTTGTGTTGTTATTTGCATTTTAAAGTCAGTTTTGTGTCCTCATATATAATAAGCTCCTTTGAATGCAGAGACTGAACATATACCTGTTTATGTTATAGCATCTAATGGAGGGCCTGGAAGACAGGCCCCTCAGAAAACACTCAGAAAGCGTGTTTTGTAGATGATTATGCTATTTTATATATTTTTTTCTTTCAAGCAGCATTTTGGTGGTGATTCACTGGCTCTATCTTCATTTTCAGGTGTTCTGTCACTTTCACATTGAATTTTCATCACTACTTCTGACCTAAAAATACCACAGGTCTTTTTTTCTGAATATGAAGAATGAGTTAATAGATTTTGGTAAGAAGTAGAAAAATGAAAATCACTTAATACATTTCTTTTTTGCCAAGACAAAGAAAATGCTTTTGATTCCCTCCTCTGCTTTTCATGTCAGAAAGTTCATACACAGTGAATCACTTCCTTGTCACTTAAACTCTGAAGTGTAATATGATCATGGTAGGCAATGAAAACATGTATATGAAGTCCCAAAGGCATAAAAATCCATGAGTGGAAACCGATAAAAGATTGACAGCTGTTTTCTAAGAAAGCAAAGAGCTGACAGCTGATGCACAAAAGGTTTCTTCCACACACCAGGGACCCTTACCTGACTCCTAATCCTCGTGCTGGCCATGGGAGTCAAAAATTTATGTTCTAGATACCAGGCTCGCTCCTGGAACACCAGCTTGGTTCCATATAACACACAAAACTAAGGCATGGGGAAAGAGGAGAGAAATGAACAAACAGTAATATATTAGAAAAGGCAAAGTCTAAGGAGGAGGAAGAGAAATAGCATAATATTACATTTCATTAAATCATAAAAGTTAATACTGTCTCAATGTAAATGGTCACATTTTGGATGTGCAGTATATGTTTTATTTTTAAAAACTATTCTATAGAACATGTAAAGCATATATAAAAGTAGAAAGAATAACATAGCAAACTGCCATGTGACCATTCCCCCAATTAAACAAATATTAACTCATGGTCAATCTTGCTTCATCTGCAACCTCACCCAGTTCCCCCTCATCCCAAGTTATTTAGAAGCAAAGTCCATATAAAGTATATTTTAAAACATGAATGTAGTATTTTTGTTTGCTTTCCTTCTCAATTCATGAAAGAATATTCTAAATGTACATTCTGAACATCATCTTGATATTTTCCATTGAGCCCGATTTCATTAAACTTTCATAAAAATAGCATTCTTCATTTACATTTATTTCAACATGTTTTTCCTATGATACTCCTGAACCCTACCCACAGAACTTCTTCATGAGATCAGTGGCATCAAGCAATAATAAATGAGTTTTCCTGTATCAAGCAGCAACTTTTTAATTAACTATTTACTTTTTAATATCCAATCATTTTTAAATCATACAAAAGCAGAGAGAAGAGTAGAATGTACTTCCACGTCTCCATCACCCAACTTGCACAGCCATCACCTCATGGCCAATCTTGTTTTATCTCTCCCCGCACCCCTTTCTGGATTATTGTGAAGCAAAGTTCAGTCATACCATTTCATAAGGTTTCACTGCGTATTTCTAAAAGATAAAGACTCTTTAGAAGTAAGATTACATAAAGTCCACCCAAGTGACAACAACAAAACCCTCAATTCAGAGTCAAATGGAAATGATCTGCATTGTCAGAAGACAATATGTTTTCTATGGCTCATGAGACTCAGAAATCACAGTTCGAAGTCATGTAGACTATATAGGCTCTTCCTTCTTTTCCTGAGGTTCTGGGACATCCTTGAATTAGCATCATTTCGGAGAGCCTCAACCATTCAATCTTCCCAGAAAGGGTCACAGTATGCTTAGTAGCTTGTCTATGAGAGATATTTAAGATTAATTATGGCTCTTTCATGACCTCGCCAATGTTCTGCTTGGCTAGTGAAAGCTTCCTTTGGCCCTTTTATATAACGGTGGTAAAGATGTTATCTGACCCTGCAGACGCAATGAGAGCAACTGAAAAATACTGTCAGACATCCTGATAACATGAATTCTTAAAAAAATAATAAATTGTATAGCTTACATGGCTAAACTGCCTCACAAGTCTCTAGGTGAAGTTCCTATCCACTACAAAAGTACCTATTGTGGATTCCTAGGTATAGAAGGTTAATTTGCATCACTTCTGGGTCTACCAACATATAAGGTCAGTGATAAGAAATCCAGAACCACAGAATGTAAGTATTTTTTGAAATAATTTAACTCATCTTCTCACGCAATCCAGAATCCTGTGTCAGCCAAGGTACAACCAAGAAACAGATGACATATTCACATTAGGATGATTCAAGAAGAGTTTAATAAATTATTTTCATAAAGGGGTGGGCAAGTTGTAGGAGAGCCACAAGGGATAGTGCAGTACCCCAGAGCTAGTATATCTGGAACTACTACCAGCTCTAGGTTTCAAGGGAGGAGGGCAGGGAGTGGCTACTAGATCCTGGAAGAGAGAGCCGTATACACAGAGACATCTTAAGAGGAGCTGCGACCTTCAGCCTAGGAACACAGAAATCCCAAGGGGACCCCATAGGGAGGCAGGCAGGGGGCAGGAATATCCACACCTTATTCTCCTCCCCTCTCCAATCTCTAACTGGGGCTTCCAGTTTGCAGAAGCAAATCAGATCCAGAGGTCAAGGATCCCACTGATGCAAGTTATGTAAGTCCACTTCCTGGACCTAGAGCAGGTTGGAGAAGGGTGGAGTGAAGAGGGGGAGAGGCAAGTAGAGGATATCTGGCACAAATCCCTTCTCTAACACCCCTGACAGATGGTGGTCCAGCCTTTAGACTACTCCTGTCTGACTCAGGCCCAAGCCCACTTGGTCCCACAGAGCTCCTACCAGCCCCTGACTGCTGACACCATTGCCAAGCGCTATTCGAGACTGCTGGCTTTAACCAGTCTCACACTGTGTTTCCTGATTATGTCTGCTCCTCCCTTTTGTTGACTCCTGAGTTGTCCTCCTGTTGTCAGTTTTTGGCTCTTGTGTATCTGATGCTCAGGGACACTTTCCTGGCTTTGAACTTCTGCTTTTCTCCTTCAACACAGTTCAGACTCTCCTTAAACAACCTTCTTTACCTGTCTGTAAAACACGGGTCTTGGTTCTCAGTGGCTACCAGAACACCACATCTAGGTCCAGATACCATCAGCCCAGCCTCAGACCCTCAAACAGAACCTGAATGTCTTTCCTTTGCCTTTGTGTTCCAGAGACAGGAGCTCAAGGCATTAAGGGGCATCTGGCTCTCAAAGGAGTCTCACTGTTGCAAGAGCCAGGGCATATCGAGCCACTTCTCTCTGTAGAATAATGAATTTATGAATTGTTCAGTCTGTAGGAAAGTGATCTGGTCCTGCTCATCTCCGTATGCTTAAGGTCTGATAAAGGAGCTGACACGCTGCAAGAAACTGGCTGAAACACAATTTCCCATAACTCATAGCTACTAACCCTGTAACTTTGGCTGCCTAAGGAACGAAACAGGAGTCTATGAAAACATCCAGATAACAGCCCTTAACAAATTTAAAGATCGGTTTCTCATCTCTGCTTAGTCTTTCTTCAAAATGACCAACCTTCACAGATCCTTATCTCCCTGTTACCACATGGTTTCCAGCCCTCGTGCCCTGGGGGCCTCTTTTAGATGCTAATTCTGTCTCTCAAGGTGTCTCACAGAAAACTGAGCAGAGAACCCAAATGTTCTCTCATTACTGTAGTGTTGGCAGCACCATCACTGTCCTGGACTGGGATTCTACACTTTTAAATGCAAGTTAAGATGGAATTTACTTTCATGACAGCCACATAACATTTTTTGAATAAATGAAAGCATATCATACATATTTGGTTTAACATCAAATGTTTGTTCACTTGACACTCCCAACTAGGTCTTTTTGCCCATGAACTGTTTTCAACCAACACACACATACATATAAACATCCCTAAAGAGATGATGGAGCACTGGGCGTTATACGAAAACAATGGATCGTGGATCACCACATCAAAAACCAATGATGTATTGTATGGTGACTAACATAACATAATAAAATTAAAAATAAATAAATAATAAAAAAAGAAAGAGATGATTTAAAATTCGTTCTCTTTTTTTTAAGATTTTATTTATTTATGAGAGAGAGAGTGCACTAGCTGGGGGAAGGGTAGAGGGAGAGGGAGAAGGAGGCTCCCTGCTGCAGGGAGCCTCACAACAGGGCTCCATCCCAGGACCCTGGGATCATGACCTGAGCTGAAGGCAGATGCTTAACTGACTGAGCCACCCAGGCACCCAAAATTTGTTCTAAATTTTTTGATTCCTTATTATTATTATTTTTAAAGATTTTATGTATTTATTTGACATAGGGAGACACAACGAGAGAGGGAACACAAGCAGGGGGAGTGGGAGAGGGAGAAGCAGGCTTCCCATGGAGCAGGGAGCCCGATGCGGGGCTTGATCCCAGGACCCTGGGATCATGACCTGAGCTGAAGGCAGACGCTTAACAACTGAGCCACCCAGGCACCCCGATTCCTTATTATTTTAAAGTACCATCTTGTTGATATGACCTGTCTCGAGTCCCCAAAGTCTCTGAATCTTGACTCAATCACCTGATATGCTTGTGTCATTTACAAATTTGTAAAATCCCATATCTTTATGCAATAGAATCCAGCTGATAGGTCTAAGTCTTCTGATTCAAGTGTCTAAGAATCTATTTAATGCGATGTCCTCTAACTCATATTTCTTTCTTTTTTTTTTTTTTTGTAACTCATATTTCTCCAGCTTGTCCATAAGGATATCCTGAGACTCTGGCAAAGTGTTGGCCAAAATCAAGATACACCAATTTCGCCAGATATTCTCTTTTAGTAGCCTGATTAAGAAAGGAAATGAGATTTGTTTAGCAAGACTTAGCCATAGTGAACAGAGAGGCTCCTAGTGACTGTCTCTTTTCCAATTGCTCATAAGCTATTCTGAATACTCTTTTCTAGAATTTTAACTTAGATTTATATCAATATTAAATTCTATAGTTTCCCAAATCTATTTTCCCCCCATTTTTAAAAAATGTGCACATTTGCTCATTTCTAATTTTTTGACATCTCTCTTTTGACCTTCTTGGTTTTCAAAAGGACAACTACAAGTCCTTCACAATTCAGGCAGAAAAAGGGAACATTATAGGCCATGAGTTTTGCTTTCTTTTTGCCATCTCTTAGCACCAAAGCTTTCTTCCCCAAACAAGAAGCCTGTTTCTTCAAACTCTGAATGTAGCTAAAAATGGCCTTTTAAATCTTCATCAGATTATTTGTCAAGCCTCATGTTATGCTAGGTTTCGGCCATCCTGACATTTATTAAATGCTATCCTTTTGTATTTATCCTCGGACAAGCCTCTCTTTCCCATTTCCCCTCTCCTCATTGCTTATATGTAGCTACCTTAGACCCGTGCACAAGGAGCACACCCATACTTTTAGCCTGGTTTCTTAAAATGTGTCCCAAATCACAGTCTTTTTTCTGTATCTACTGTATTGTCAGAATAATATTTTGCTGCAGGCTAATAAAAACCCTGGACACCAAAGCTTGGGTACCATGATTGGCAATGCTTTGCACATGATGTCACATTGCCACATTGTTACATTGTGGGGGAGAATTAAGTGTTGTTTATAGGGACTCCAGAAAAAGAAAACAACTGGAAGCCTTGTTGGTTTTTTTCTGGACTACACCCCCTGTACCTTTTCCCTCTGCTGAT